ATATATATATATATTAGAAAATAAATGAAAAGATGACAGAGAAAACAAAAAACAAAAAGAAAATGGATTCTACCATTATGGTGGTGACTAGTGCATATCAAAATACTATGATGTTAAGGACATTTGATAAAACAATAATATTATGGACATATTAATAAAATTGTGTCAACATTAATAATAAGAATGAAATATTTATTTTAATGTAAAAATGAAATAAACTAGTTCTGTTAATTGGACTAGTATTGAAACATCTCTATAATTATGGGATTGATTTTGATGTTTTGGCATGTCATCCAACACGCACGAGGTAAATGGATCAACTATAATATTATTAAGACACGTAGGAATGTCATGTCATTTATGGGCCGAAAAAGGCAGTTCCGACAACATTTGTCCTTATTTTAATTGAATTTAAAAAGTTACATGACTGATTTTGGGAATACTATTCCGATTGGATCAAAAAATGGACGACACAAAAGCTACGTGACTAGTTTTGATATATCTTGCGGGCTATAGCCTAGTGTCTAGACAGGGAAGGAATGTGTACTGTGTAGATATGATCTTAAAAATATTTATAAATTTATTAATAATAAGTTATATTATGTAAAATATACTAATTAATATAATTGAATATATATATCATTATAAATATAATATGTTTGTGATTGTTGTCTTGATTTTAATATAATTGTTATTTTTTTCATAATTAATGTATATTATGTATAAAAATAATTAATGTATATTATGTATAATTGTTATTTTTTTCATAATAATTTGATTAAAGAAAACAATGCTTGGCGCACTTTATAGTTGTCTGGCCCACCTAGATAGCGCTTAATTGACCGAGTGCGCTTCATTTTATGAAATAATTTGTTCAAAATAAGTTGTTTTGGTTAACTATAGTTAATTTTGAAAAATGTGGTATGGTTAGTTGTTTATTGAATTTTAAGAATGTATTAAAATAATATTTAAAATAACATGATTAAAATTAATTTTATGTAAAAGTAAGAGATAAATGATTAGAAATGATATGTAGTTAAAATTTTATATTATTAAATTATATGAATAATATATTAAAGATAGTGGAGTTAAGTTAAAGTTGAGTTAGATTTTGAGTATGAAATAAAGGTGAGTAAAATAATTGATAGATAATCAAGCCCTAAGGTAGAGTCTAGGCAAAAATGTTGGCGCACAAATGCGCCTAGCACACTCAAAAGTACTTCAAGTGTGTGCTTGATACAAATATATCTGCTAAAAATGAGTTTTTTTTTATTAATCATGGTTAATTTTGAAAAAATTAATTTCGTTACTAGTGGGATTTTGAGTTCATATTAAAATAAAATAATTAAAGTTAATTTGATGTGAACGTATGAGAGAGATGGTGTGAAGTGGTGGTTAGTTAAAATTATGTGACGGAATGAAATGTGAATTAAAGTTAATGTGATGTGTAAGAATGATTGATTCGTATTATATTATTATATTGATAATATTAAGGATAGTGAGATTTGTAAAGCTGTAAGCTGACTTAAATTTTGAGCATGAATTGAACATGAGTTGAGATAATTCATAGAGATAATTCATAAACAAACACACCTGAGATTCGTGGGTTCCGTTTTAATTCGGTTGAGGAAAGAATAATTGTCACTTCATATTATTATTTAAGAAATCTATAAAATGAGATATGTCAAATTATGCTTATGTTAGAATGATACTGAAGTGAAGCTCAATTTGTGTAGCAGGCCACAGGCTCCAGATTGTGGTAAAAGGTACCGGAGTTATTGTAACCTTTACTACAAATTTGCCCTTTTTCTTTTTTTTTTTTTTTTCCAGTTTTTCCACGTTAATCAAATGAACATCGATCAAAACTACGAATCCAACGACATTTTCCAAACACTATTAAGAAAAAGAAGAAAAAAATATGAATGTACAATAGCCTCACAGCATTCCACAAGGTCTATTTTGACCCAGTCTTGACAAAATTAGCCGCCCCACGAGTCCTCCTGGACCTAGCTCTCGTCAACCGGCCGCCACCACTGCCTTCTTCCGCTGGTGGCTGAGCATTCTCAAAGGAGGCATCAATCTGCGAAAACACTTGTTCCTCATTGTTAGGACTCAAACTCTTACTGCTCATCAGGACAGCTTGTGCTGGTGCCGTTTTCAGTTCATTCGAAACAGGTTCTGGAGAGAGTGCTTCTTTTTTCGAGCTGTCTGCAGACGAAATTTCATCTGCTGTATCTTTGTCCTGTTCGGTTGAAGATGACGATGCACTAGAAGAAGGAGAAGAGTGTTGAACGTTCTCAACAGGTTGTTGTGTGGAGGACAGTTTGTG